ATTCAAGTATTTTTAGGAATGATAACCTTTCAGAACATAACACTATAATCTGATGCACCTTGGTTATAAGACACTTAATCTTTTCATGTGTTTGGGAAAGGACTCTCTTGGATGTTATTCATGGTGGAATCACATCCAGGGTAGAAGCAAAGATTAACACTCTTTCTGTAAAGCTGCATGTGGGAATCTAATGCTGCTCAGTGATTTGAACATAATCATTTTCTTCCAGGAACATGTCAGGAACAAAGCAGCTTAGGTGTGGCATCACCAGCATATAAAAGATAACAGGAAACTCTAAAAATAATTGCATTGTGGGAGCATTTGCAGTGACCCTCTTCAGGCAGTACACAGCTTAATCACATTCTTTTGGTAGAAGTTAGTTGTTAAGGTCAAGCTAGTTACATAGTAAAGTGAGACTGAATAATATGAAAACAACCCCAGACCTCATTTGTCATACAGAAGAGCGGTTTTTCTCTACCTGGAATGATAAATACTGTTTTGATTTTTCTCATCTATGCAAGGACTGGCTGATACAGTACTTGCCAAATTTCTAAATGTTGTGAGGTACACATGATCACAACTATGGAAATGTTTGGGAGTGCATAGGCTACCTTTGAAGCAGAGGGACTATATGAAATGGATGAAGCCAAGTTTGAGTTCTGAATAAATGGCTTTGATCAAGCATTGCCTCTCAGCCCATTCTATTGTACAAGATTCTTGTGGGGATGAAATGATAGGAGAAGCATCTGGAGAAAGGGCAGACTATATATGCAGTGATTCATGAATAGGCAAATGCAGGAAACCCTACACCATTTCAAACAGGTGGTTTCCAGTCTTTTCTTTAAAAACATCCAGTGATGAAGCACCCACGACTTTTGAAGGCAAGCTGTTCCACTGGTTAATTGTTCTCACTTTTAGGACATTTCTCCTTAATTCCAGGTTGCTTCTCTCCTTGATTAGTTTCCATCCATTGCTTCTTGTCCTGCCTTTAGGTGGTTTGGAGAATAGATTGACCCCCTCTTCTTTGTGGCAGCCCCTTAGATATTGTAACACTGGTAGAAGGACCCCTAGTCCTTCTTTTCATTAAATTAGATATACCCAATTCCTGCAACCGTTCTTCATATATTTTAGACTTCAGTCCCCTAATTATCTTTGTTGCTCTTCTCTGTACTTTTTCTAGAGTCTTAACATTCTTTTTATTTTGTGGTGACCAAAACAGGATGCAGTATTCCAAGTGTGGTCTTACCAAGGCATTATTAAAAGTGGAGCTAACACTTCAAAAATATACAGTTCTTGCGCCATGAGTTCTCTCTCCAGTTGACCAATAGGAGAGTAGTAAATCAGGATTCTTCAGCTCTTGGAGTAAAGATTGCTCCTGCTGTACACAAAAAAACCCCATGAAAATGCATTTCCAATCCATGTTTTCATTAGATGTTTGCATTCATCTTTGCAAAAAGACCTGGGAGATGGTGGAGAGTCCTCTTGTTTCTGCTAAATAGCCTCAACTAGCTACATTGCAGAAAGATAATGTGGTGGCATATTTGTAAGTAAGCATTTTTCACAATAGCTCTAATCATGGTTTTAGGTTACATTTTAGAGCTATTATATGTGCATAGGGAACAAAGTAATGGCTCACTTGAGAACAGAGGCTCAGAAGCAGGTAAATCTAGAACTTAATCTGTGCTGATTGAATACACAGAAGAAATCTACTTGAGCTCAGCTGTTCATAAAGAGATTATGAGAATGACTAGAAATTTGAGTGGGTAAGTCAAGATTGGGTTTGTTGGTTTAGTGACCTTTCTCTAAAATAGTTCTTCAGCAAGAATTTACTTGAGCAACATCTTACTTGAACCCTGGTGTTGTTTAGGCATATAAGAGCAGAGCGAAGCCAGTAGAAAATGACTAGCTTAACCTTGTTACTCAAACACTCCCCTCCATTGTTCTGATTTCAGATCAACCGAGCAAGGGCTTGCACAGAGATACAGTGCTGGTAACTCAAGTGGCTTCCCTGCCTCCATGCCCTAGTGCAGGCTGTTCTGACCTAGGCTTCCCAAGATCATGAAGCAGACTCCTTATCCCAATAAAACACCTTTTCTTTAGGTTAAAGTGAATTCTTCTTCAGCAAATTTCCGGCAAACAGTCTTTCATGAGATTTCACAACTACAGACCTTTATCAAGCTTGGAGAGTTGCCAGGCCGATATCTTCCAAATGCCCCACTGTAGCAGCAATTACTTGGCAAGAAGTCAGGAACAGATCTTCACTCTAATGAATTGAACTAATTGTCTCCTGCAAACACCACTCCCCTTTTGCTCCTCTTCATTCCCTAGGAGAGGAGCCATTCACTGTCCACCTTTACTCCTGTGTTGACCCTTGTTCCTTAACTGTTCCCTTTTTCTGGCAGCTCTGTGCATGCGCACACTGGGAAGAGGTTCCAGCTGTTCTTCTGCCCTGCTAATCTCTGACTCCGAAGGCAGATGATAACTGTCAGATGGCCCTGTCCCCATCTCTGCCTCTGACCCAGAGCACTCATCAGAGCCTTCCCCAGATTCCAGGACTGGCCCATGTTTCTACCCATCCTCCTCACTGTCCGAGTCTGCCACCAGCTCTGCTGGCTGTTGGTGGGCCACACACTGGGGTGTCAAACTCACGTCATCATGGTAGCATCATGTGACATATCAGGATTTTTTTTCCCCTTCACTAAACCAGGCATGGGTGTGGCCAGTGCATGACGCATCCGTCCCATGGCCCCAGGGGTTGACAGCCCTGCCCTAGTGCATCCCTCTCTGGTTGAATAAACAACCAGGCTTTTAGCACAAAGCACACATCATGAGAATCTATAGGACAACATGCAAGAATCTACAGAGATGAATAAATGAGACGAACTTTAGAAACTAGAGAACTCCTGTGCACTTGAGTGTGAACTCAGTCTGATTTAGCTCACAGTAAATGTGCATAAGATTGCTGCACAGATTAGTTAATCAGAGTGATTAATCATCTAAAGCTTGAATTGCAAATTGGAATTGCCTCTCAATTTATTGACAATAAACAAAGACTCTGGGATGAGAAACACTTAAAGGGCCTTCCATCACAGCAGGCACTCAACTTGGCTGCTTAAATCCCATTAATTCCACTTGCTTCTACACCCACCCAACATCTATTCTGCTAGCAGCAAAACATTTCTATAGGGGCATAATCACTTCTGCCTGTTCTGGATTCTTAAGCAACTCCTTTGGTGTCATAATACACATTTTGAAGTAAAAATTGCAATTTACATGGTACTAAAATTTTCTGATCTTTCTTAACTGCCAATAGACTTTTCTTGTGCCTGAGTTCTCTACTATAATTTGCTTTTCTCATGATGATATCTGCCATATAATTAAGCCTTTCACTGAAGATTGACCCAGTCAAGATGTCAAGCACAGGGCCATTTAAATATATTTACTGGGGGAAAAATGCTAAACTCAAAAATATATCCCAGCTGGTTGCAGTTGTACAATCATGTTACTTACTGCTACTTATGGATGCAGGGTTAACAATAAATACCTACTTATAAAACATCCCTTTTTCTTATTACTATTTTAAAAGTATTGCCTTTACAATGGGCAAACAAATTATTCCTCTTCTTGGAAATTGAAATCTTTCTACTGTTAGTATAATAGGTTTAGCTCAAACCAAAAGAATTCATATGATTTCTCTCTCTCTCTCTCTCTCTCTCTCTCTCTCACACACACACACACACACACACACACACACACACACACAGAAAAATGGCCACAAGTACAGCTCAGTTCCTGGTGATTACCTGAACACAACCTTGCAATTTTCTTGGCAAGACTGTAGAGATGTTTTGACATTGCTTTGTTCTGAGATGTTTATTTGGACTTTCAAATCTAGTCTATATCCCTGAATTTCCTAGTATTAACTAGGTTAAACTCTCATTAATGTCAAACAAGAGAGGCACTTGAAGACATATGTTTCCTTCACTTTTTAGAGATCTGTAAAAAAGGGGGGGGTATATATCAGCTTCTCATGATGCCAATCCATGAAGCTATTTTGAAGCACTAGATTTTAATGAAACAGAATGGCAGAACATTTGACAGATAAATTGAAATGCTTCACACAGCTCATAGTAACTGTGCAATTATAAAGAGATGTAATCCACCCGGCTAATTTTAAAAGCAGCTGAACAAATATATGAAGAGTTGATGTCATATTAGGATCAGGATTCATCAAGATCAAAGGCAGGCAGGTTGGTTGGTTGGTAAAAGGGGAAATTAAGTGAGTAATTATTTCAGCTGTTGTATTAATGAAATAAATGACTAGGCATGTTTCTTGTTTTTCTACATTATGTTCTATATCAGTGGTGGCTAACCTTTTTGGGCTCCTGTGCCAAAAATTGTGCATGCACGTGCATGCTTGCACTCACGTGCCAGCACCCAGAAGGCAATGCGCCCCCCACGCCCCCTATGCATGCGCTTGCAACCCCCAACCATCCATCCCGCCACCCCGTTACTTGCACTAAGCCTCCCAGCTGATTTGTGGCTGCTTTGAGGCCTTTTTCGGCCTCCCAAAGGCTTGAGGAAGGCTTCTGCAGGCTTTGCAGGCCGAAAACTAGCCCTGTTTCGTCACTTCCAGTATTTTTGGAAAAACAGGAAGTAATGAAATGGGCCTAGTTGTCAGCCTGCAGAAGCCTTCCTCAAGCCTTCGGGAGGCCGAAAAAGGCCTCAAACCAGCCAAAAATCAGCTGGGAGGTGCGTGCATGCGCAGTGAGGTAAGTTTGTCTGCAGCTCGCGTGCCAGCACAAATAGCTCTGCATGCCACCTGTGGCATGTGTGCCATAGGTTCTCCATCATGGTTCTATATCTTTAAAAGAATTACTGACTATTTAGATGCAGCTCAGCAGAATGTTTGTTTTTATCCTGTGTCTTCTACTTAATTGCAAACTAGGTATCTAACAGAATTGGTTCAAACTTATGGGGCTGTTTTGTATCTTTTACAGTTACCATATCCAATAATAGTCAAGGAACTACTGGTAAGCAAAAACATGTAAACATATCATGAAAACAATGGTATCAATTGAGATCTCTTTGTATTCTTTTTATTTGTGAGAGTTACTTATAGTTATTATAACCTATAATAAGACAGTTACTCTCCTTCTATAAAACTGGGAAAGAGGAGAGGCAGTTTTTATGTGAATCTAATTACCACAAGATGATTTAATAACTGAAGCTGTGGAGCATCAAAACATCAGCAAAGAACATCTAGACCAAGGCTGTCAAACTCCTGGCCCACCGGCCAGATGCATCACACATTGGCTATGGCTATGCCAAGTTTAGCGGAGGGGGGAAAAGTCCTGATACGTCACGTGAGGACGCCATGATGACGTGAGTTTGACACCCCTGATCTAGACTACAAGAAGAATATGAAATCTGTAAAGTAATCCTATTAATCTAAATAACAAAATGGACTAGATCCTTGCATCTGTAGCTATAATTTTCTGTAATATTTAATAGAGATAGATAGTACTTTAATTGAATCTCAAAAAGCATAGGACAGCTAATTGAAGAACAACAACTATTATTGATATCCCTTATCAATGCAGCTATCCCACGTGCCTGTATAGCTAATTGGGGCATTACTTTCCACTAGGATGGAATTACATTTACATGTAAGTGCTGGGATTCCATTGATAATTAATGGCTGAGAGTTTGTCCATAACCATGTGCAAATTTTCCAACAAAGCCCTTTCAGGACCTTGGAGAGCACATTCCAAAAGCTACACCTAAAAGGCAGACTCAGCACCTATCTGAGGATTTTCGAAGATTGGCAAAGCCAATAAATCCTTTTTAGCTCCACCCCTTAAACCTAAAGAACCTCTAACCCTTTCCTAAGCATTAAACTCATGCATAGCTAGTCAGTCATGGGAGAATCATAAGGATATGAATTATCTTCAAGCTGAAAAGGCAAAAAAAGGCATGAGGAGGGCTTCCCCAGAATTGACATTATCATGCATTTATTATATGAAAAGTTCTTTACACTTTTGCTAAATCTCTGATGCTGTTGAGATGACATCTAGCAGTTATCCTATGACAACTATTTCACTGTACGGTTATGACACTATTAATCTCTCACATTTAGCTCCCCTTGTATAATACCCACTCTAGCTACTCCCTTATATAATGTCTATCTATAATGCATAGGATTTTAACTATGCTGAGTGGACAACATGGGATTTATAGTCCAGATTCCAGTTTCCATGCTCTCCATCCAGCATAGTTAAAATCCAGTGCATTGGAGAGCACCAAATTGGAAAGCACCAAATTGGGGGAATTACCTCATTCCAATTAATTCCAAATGATCCTTATGAATTTAAATGGGTAGTCATGAAAATGTTTTACATTACAAAATGTAAATAAGGTTATGAATTGTTGCTGCAACATTAGTTTATGCTTCAGTATTTTTTTAAATTTTAAATATTTTAACTTAAAACCATACAGTACAAAGCAGATTATATACCTAAATGACTTGACAAGCATATTCTCTCAGTGTGTGTGTGTATACTATATATAGATTTTTAAAATTGTTAGAAAACAGCTCAATAGAAGGTAGTACAGCAAATATAGAATATTGCTATGTTAGGCAAATTGGTTTGTAAATTACATTGTCACAAAATACAGATGTCACGAAATCAATTAGTGTTAATTTGGGGTGTTTTTGTGAACCAGATGGAACACTATAGTCATAGTAATCTGGAGAATGTAATATGCCTCCAATTTCCTTCTAGACTTACTATATACCTGTCCTACTCCTATATATATATATATATATATTTTTTCTGAGGTTCTCGCGGGTATTTGTATGTGGATCTTTGGTTATTCGGGTTTTCTCCCGCGTAAGATTGGAAGTATCTAGGCAACGTTTCGATGAAGTCTCATTCATCATCTTCAGGCTTGTGTCTTCAGCTCTGTGCTTCTCAGAGTGATGTGAGCTTGCACCTGCTTCTTCCTTTTAACTGCTAGTGGGGGTTTGACTTGATTGGGTGGGGGCTTGGCTGTGTTCTGATTGGTTGGGGGGTTGGCCGTGTTCTGATTGGCTGGAGGTGTGTTCTGTTCAGGTGGGAGCTTGGTTGTGCTCAGAGCCACGAGGGCCACACAAGATGCCACCACCGCACTTGCACATAGAAAGCAGACTCACACCCACACAGAAGATGAGACACGACCACGGACCAGAAGCCGCACTGCAGCTGCATCACTACCCACTTCAAACCCCTCTGAGCCATACATGAAGTGAACTGACACCCACCATGAAGATGCGGCACGACCACGAACTCGAAGCCAAACAGCAAGATCACAACTCACCAGCTCAAATCCCCCAGCAACTAAGACTAACTTGAGCAGGTCCCATTCGCCATCCTCAGGCTGGTGCTTTCGGCTTCGTGCCAGTGCAGGCAGTGTGTGATCGGAGCTGCCGTCTCTCTATAAATACTGGTGGTGGGGTCTGGTGTGCTGGGCTGGTTGGCTGTGCTGCTGCCTCTTGATTGGTTGATGGAGTTGATGTTGGTATAATGGGCTGTGTGATGGCCTTGTGAGTTTTGTTGCGGAGATATCCTGGATCTTGTGCTGTAATCTCCTGGGTCATTTGTTTTGGAGTTATCTTTTTTCCATTAGCCTCTCATGTTTTAATGGCTTGGGTAATGGGTTGTGTGATGGGCTTGTGAGTTCTTTTTTGTGGTATCCTGGGTCCTGCGTTGTAATCTCCTGGGTCGTTTGTGTTTTGATCTCCAGCCCTACACAGAATCCATCACCTCATACGTACAAAACTCCTTCCACTTCATAGAAACAATAAAGAAACAAAACCTACAACCCAGTGACCTACTCGTGAGCTTCGATGTCATATCCCTCTTCACCCAAGTACCCATCAAAGAAGCCTTGACAGCCATCCAAAACAAATACAACCCCCCAAACACATCCTAGATCTGACCAACTACTGCCTAACCAACACATACTTCATCCACAATGGACAAAGATACAAACAGATAGAAGGAGCACCCATGGGATCACCCCTCTCACCTGTCATCGCTAACCTATACATGGAACACTTTGAAACCAATGCTCTACACAAATCCAAACACAAACACAAACTCTGGCTCAGATATGTAGATGACACTTTCATAATTTGGCCACACAGGAAAGAAAAACTAGACAACTTCCTCACACATCTTAACAACCTACACCCCAAAATACAATTCACCATGGAAACAGAAAGCAACAACCAACTTCCCTTCCTGCACGTCCTAATTTACAAAAAACCCAAATTCTCCATAAACACAATATCAGGACAGCCTTCGGCACTAACCAAAAAATAGCCAACATCCTAAGAAACCCCAAAGACAAGATCTAGCTAGAAAACCAAGGAGTTTATGAAATACCATGCAACAATTGCTCAGCCACATACATTGGACAAACCAACAGGAGAATAAATGCACGCATCGCAGAACACAAGAATGCAGTCAAAAGAGAAGAAAATACCTCCTCCCTCTTCCAGCACCTTAAAGCCACAGGACATAAAATTAATTTCAAAGGAACCAAATTAATATCCAACACTGAAAACTCCAGCAAGAGAATAATCAGGGAAGCCATTGAGACACCCCCATAACATGAATAGACGGGATGATACCTCCCGCCTACCAGACATCTGGAAGCTAGCCCTCACCAACAAATGAGTCCCAGCCACAAAAACGAACACCAGACCCAAAACAACACGGGACACCACCACCAATCCCCCTCATCAGACCCAGGCCCAAGCCCATCCTATAAACGAAGGACAACCACCATCCAGAAAACAGACCACGGCTGCTTTGCCAGCTGTCGCACCCCCCAACCCCAAAACCAAACAAGCTGACACACGCCAAGAACACAGACCCAGACCGCAAACTCGAAGCCAGACTAAAACCCAGAATGCTACATCACAGCCACCCGCTCAGGATATCACATAAGAAAACTCAGAAAATTACATCACAGGAACTCAAGAAGTTGCAACACAGCAAATGACCCAGGATATCACAGCACAAGACCAAGGATACCACAGCAATAAGTCTTACAAGGTCATCACACAACCCATTACCCAAGCCGTTACTACACAGGAGGCTAATGGAAAAGAGATCAAAACACAAACGACCCATGAGATTACAACACAGGACCCAGGATACCACAACAAAAGAACTTGCAGGCCCATCACACAACCCATTACCCAAGCCATTAAAATACAAGAGGCTAATGGAAAAAAGATAACTCCAAAACAAATGACCCAGGAGATTGCAGCACAAGATCCAGGATATCTCCACAACAAAACTCACAAGGCCATCACACAGCCCATTATACCAACATCAACTCCATCAACCAATCAAGAGGCAGCAGCACAGCCAACTAGTCCAGCACACCAGCTCCCACCACCAGTATTTATAGAGAGACGGCAGCTCCGATCACACACTGCTTGCACTGGCATGAAGCCGAAATCACCAGCCTGAGGATGGCGAGTGGGACCTCACCAAAACGTCACCAAGATACTCTTAATCTTACACGGGAAAAGACCCGAACACACCTAGACCTACATACCTGTACCTGTGAAAATTTATGAAAACATATATACACTATGTGTGTGTGTGTATGTGTGTGTGTGTGTGTATGCTTCACTCTGAGAAGCACAGAGAAGAAGACACAAGCCTGAAGATGATGAATGAGACTTCATCAAAACGTTGCCTAGATACTTCCAATCTTACGCGGGAGAAAACCCGAATAACCAAAGATCCACATACACGCGAGAACCTCAGAAAACACACACACACACACACACACACACACACACACACACACACACACACACACACATATATATATATATATATATATATATATATATATATATATTCTTAAGTTTTCATGGGTACTTACATGTATGGTATTCGATTTTTCCCACATCATTATAGTTTTGCTTTTAAAGTTGTAGCAACATTTCGGCAGAATCTCATCTGCCATCATCAAGCTTCTGTATTGTGTTCGTCTGTGAGTCAGACTTTCACAGCCATTTCAGTTTTAAATTTGGGGCTAGCCTACTGCCGTGCCAGAATGGTTTTTTCTTCATCCTGATTGGTTGGGAGTCTTGGTCTGTGTTTATTGGTCTTGGAGTTTGCTGTGTTCTGCTTGATTGGTGTTTCTAATATCAAGACTCCCAACCAATCAGGATGAAGAAAAAAACATTCTGGCACAGCAGTAGGCTAGCCCCAAATTTAAAACTTCCTCACTAGTCCAACACATGAAAGCCACAGGTCATAGCATCGACTTCAGTGGCACCAAAACCCTAGCCACTATAGAAAACCCCAGCTACAGAATTATCAGAGAAGCCATTGAGATTGAAAAAAGACCTGAAAGCATGAATAGAAGAGATGATTCCACCAGACTGTCAATTATTTGGAAGCCTGCACTCACAAACAAAAAAATCTCCACACCACAAGCCAGGCAAACACCTGGGCACAAACAGATCCCCCCTGATACCTCCAGCTCAAACACACCCAACCAGGCACCCAGATAAAACCTAGCTTCCTAATAAATGATAGCCGTCCATTTACTCAGAGCCAAGCCGCACTAAAAGCCTCCAATACAGGAAACACAATGTTGCCAGCCAATCAAGACAAAAAAAGCCACAAAACAGACAGAAGATATTAGAAACACCAATCAAGCAGAACACAGCAAACTTCAAGACCAATAAACACAGACCAAGACTCCCAACCAATCAGGATGAAGAAAAAACCATTCTGGCACAGCAGTAGGCTAGTCCCAAATTTAAAACTGTGAAAGTCTGACTCACAGACGAACACAATACAGAAGCCTGATGATGGAAGATGAGATTCTGCCGAAACGTTGCTACAACTTTAAAAGCACAACTATAATGACATGGGAAAATACCCGAACAAAGCTGAATACCATACATGTAAGTACCTGCAAAAACTTAAGAATATATATATATGGTTACTATATATACAACCTTCTGTTGAACTATTTTCTAATGATTTTAAAAATCTAGCAATAATAAATACCAGCTAATAATAAACAGGTTAATAAAATTTCATGTTTTATTACTTTATCTATTTAAAACAGATGTAATAAGTCAATGTGGAGATTTGGAGATATTTTTGTTCTATAAATTCTTCATCCAATATGCAACCACCTGTATAGATATATTAGATTTTTTTTAATATATAATCTCAAGAGACTCAAGCATGGAAGGTTTCTAGTAATGGATCGATATTGGGTAATTAAGGTGATTTCTTTAGTTTGAGCAGAAACTAAAGAATTTAATCTAATTTATTTAGATGCACATATTTGATTCCAATCATGTATTTGTTTGTATAATTTATTAAATTCATTTGCTTCTCATCGTGTAATTTGAGGCAGTTTAAGGTAGTCCTATATTTATACCATATTATTGTTCTTAGAAAACTCTGTTATCTTTACTGAAGTCTGCATCTAGCAATAGTGTTGTTTTCCTGAAATTCTACATGTTATTATTATTTGTTGAAATGATATCATAGTTTGGAATCTGAATATAACTATGGTTTATTGCTATTATTAAGGAAGTCAGTCAGTTAATACTAAAAAAGGCATGCTAAATTTTAAACTATTTATTCAACTTGATTGGTAGTTTAAAACTGTATTATAAAATTGTAATCTTTAATATGCTTTCTATTCTAAAGGGTCTCCCATGATAAATGTCACTTCAGCAGCAAAAAGTAAGTTCTTGAATGAAAAACTGCTTGAAATTCTACATTTAATTATTCACATTGCGCAAGTGAAAATATTAAAAAGGTTTTATCAGTGTCTTAATCCACCACTGATTGTAATAAAGGCTCATTTATTATATTTCTATAAAATTCTGTTATTGGATACTGTTTCAAGTATAAATTGATGCTCTGCTCAAAACCCAGACAGGCAATCATTTGCTGTGAGGGAAAGCATCTTTTAAAAATTAATATTGTTTAGTTTAGTTTAGTTTAGTTTCATTTCGTTTTGTTTATTGTCATTGCACCTTGTACAACAAAATCAAACACCATCTTCAGTGCACATGACCATGAAAATAAATACCAACACATATTCTTCATGCTCTACACATTGAACCGAATACCCCCGACACTGCACCTACGCTGCACTATACAGCAGAATTCAAAAGAGCTACTGCCCTGGGATACAAGCTGTTTTTCAGCCTATTTGTCCTTGTTTTTATTATTCTGTACCATCTGCCAGATGGTAATAGTTCAAAAAAAAGGGTTCCCAGGATGAGATGGATCTTTGAGAATGTTTTGAACTTTCTTAAGGCAGCGGAAACTATAAAGGTTTTCCAAAGAGGGGAGAGGGCAACCAATTATCTTCTGGGCAATGATGTTAACCCTCTGGAGTGCTGTCCTATCTGCCACTGTGCAATTGGCAAACCATACAGAGGTGCACTAAGTTAAGATGCTCTCTGTGGTGCAGCGGTAGAAGGACACCAGCAGTTTTTCATTCAGTTGTTGTTTTCTGAGAAGTCTCAGGTAGTATAATTTCTGCTGGACCCTTTTGACCAGTGCTGCAATGTGAGCACCCCAGGTCAGGTCCTCTTTTATGGTAACACCCAGAAACTTAAAACTGGCCATTTGCTCCATTTGGTCTCCATTGATAAGCAAGGGCTGGATGTCTGATCTGTTCCTTCTATTGTCCATTATAAGCTCCTTGGTCTTATTGGTGTTGAGGACCAAGTTATTGTCTCCACACCAAGAAAGCAACCAGTCCACCACATCTCAGTAGGCAGACTCATCCCCCCGGAGATGAGTCCCACCACTGTTGTATCATCTGCAAATTTAGCAATAGTATTACTAGCATGAGTGGGAATGCAGTCATGCACATGTTCTGTGGCAATGATGTTATGAGAATGATCAGATCCCAAATTTGTTGTTAATTATTCCCTTTTATGCAAAGATCGGATCACAGCTAAAATCCTTAAACTCTGCTCTTCCACAGTCTTTTACTTTGGGCATGTGGACCATGTTTTTATAGAATAGAATAACAGAGTTGGAAAGGACCTTGGAGGTCTTCTAGTCCAATCCCCTGCTTAGGCAGGAAATCATAGCTGTCTCCAAAAAGAGCAAAAACATAATTTGGACATGATAACTTACATTCTTTAGTCTGATGTAGGGATGCAAGAATAAATGGGATTTACGATACTAGACACATATTTTATATTTGTTTTCTTGACCTCATTTAATAGAGGACACCTATGTCTACAAGGCATTTTTATAATAAATCCACTCAGTTAATGGGTGCCCTCATGGAATAAAGGAAAAGGGAAGTACAATAGTACTTCCCTTTTCCTTTAACCCTGAAATAAGGAGAAACTTTCTGACAGTGAGAACAATCAACCAATGGAACAGAAGTTGCCCTCGGAAGTTGTGGAAGCGCCATCACTTGAGACTTTCAAGAAGAGATTGGAACTGCCATTTGCCAGAAATGGTGTAGGGTCTCCTGCTTGGGCAGGGGATTGGACTAGATGACCTACAAGGTCCCTTCCACCTCTGATTATCTGTTATCTGTAGTAGGCTGAAGGTGGTGTGAGGAGAAAGTCAAGATGGCCCCAGCACCTGATCAAAGCCCTGATGTTTTTATATACAGCACAAGGACATTTCAATTTTTTGAAAATTGAATTCCTGCAGACATCTCTGCTAGGGTTGGAATAAGATCCATCTGGTTAAAATGGGCAAATGGAAAGGCAGGATGTCTTTCAGAAAGAAGAAACAGATGAAGTAAAATCTGTGTGTATCTGTTCATAATCAGGCACTCAAAGCATGTGACAAGCAATTTTTAGAGACATTTCTCAGAAAAACTCATTGGATTCAGTGAATTACTAGGTTGATGTCTAACTTTTATTAACTTCCATCTGGAATTTTACCATGCAGGGGAACTGGGGATAAGCAGTGGGAATATGAACTGTCTTGAGTACTCCTACCCCACTCCTTTGCTCAGAACTGCAGCCTCCTAAGGCTGTTTGGCACTAAAGGGAACAGTAATTCAAAGGAGCAATAAAAGTATCCACGTTTGAAGGAAAGGAAATAATTTGCTCTGCAGCAGAGCAAAAAGAGTGCATATTAAAATAATGAAGCTAGAGAAGTTTCATGTATTGATACAACAGCACAAAAAGGCACTGTCAGTACTGTAAGATGGAAGCCCAGAATAGTAAATTTAAAACTTGCTTTCAAGTATGCTTAATTTAAAATAATATATTGCCTTTTTCAAAAAAAAAATATAATCATTTTATCAAAAAACCATTAAACTTATTGTGCATTTTCTGTCTTACCCTTCCAAAGGTGCCACTTCAATGAGCACAATTGCAACTACTACCATTAAAGGTAATGTCTTAGCTTTATTAATTATTTACTATACTTCTAATATTTTATTTCTGTCTTAATTCATATCTAAACATTTTCTGGACAGTATGGTACAGCAGAGACCTACTTAAAAAAGAAACTTCTGTTGTTGAGTTACAAATAAGTTAGAATAGCATGCTATAAATTAACACCCAAGCCCTATGCACCATATCGCACTCATGTCAGAAGCACTCACCCTACTCGATCGCGTCAGGAACGAAGAAGTGCGTAGACGGTTCAACGTCGTGCCCATCCCCACGGTCATGAGGCAGTCCCGGCTACGATGGTTCGGCCATGTGAGTCGCGCTAAGGAAGAATCCATCATCAAATCTGCGATGAAGGTGATTGTCGGAGGAGCGAGACCGCATGGTAGACCTAAGCAACGCTGGATGGACACGATCAAGGCCGATCTAGAGATCGCGAAGGCAGACCCGACATACGTGGCAGACAGAGAGGCGTGGAAGCAATACTCAAGGACATTAGCGGACCTCGCCAGAGCGCGAGACAAACGCTGAAGAAAAAGAAGAAGAAGAAGAAGTCAGAAGCACTGAGGCACTTCCAGGTTGAAAGGATTAGCTGGTGGCATCACCATTGTCCAGGTGATGCCCATTTGGCAGCTCCTTTCATGTCCCCAGCAGACGGGAAGTCACCCAATCCCACAGCAGTACTCAGATCTCAAACACAGGATTGCTAATTTCCAACCCACATCCTAACCACATGCCTTTAGTCCCATGTATGATTCCTCAAAATTAATTTTGATTTTGTGAGTTGGATTTATTCTTCGCAAAACATCCAGTGGGAGGATACATAACTTTTTGGACTGAGAATTCCATTTCTCCTTCAAGTGGCAGATTGAGCACTCCCTAAAATACCAAAAGAAAAAAATAAATCTACATTGATTTAACCCATAAATGCAATTAAATTCAGTTAATATGATTACTTCTACAAATATAATAATTTTTCCCTCGTATCAATTACATTATCTTGGGAAGTGCTCTGGGGGACAGAGACAGTGATAGATAAATAGCCCTATACTGCTATTTTTTATTTTTATTTATTTATTTTGATTTGTCAATCGCTTACAAGATAATATGTATAAGTATATACATAGTTATGAATACATGAAATGGGTACATATAAGAAAAATAAAAGAAACAATAGGACAGGGATGGTAGGCATGTTGGTGCGCTTACTCATGCCCCCTACAGACCTCTTAGGAAAGGGGTGAGGTCAATAGTAGACAGTTTAAGGTTAAAGTTTTTGGAGTTTGGGGAAGAAACCACAGAGTCAGGTAGAGTATTCCAGACATTGACCACTCTGTTGCTGAAGTTGTATTTCCTGCAATCAAGTTTGATACGGTTAACCTTGAATTTGTATCTATTGTGTGCTCTTGTGTTGTTATGGTTGAAGCTGAAGTATTCATTGACAGGTAAGTCATTGCAATGTATGATTTTATATACCATACTTAGATCAGACCGAAGACAGCATAATTCAAGGTTTTCTAGATCTAGAATTTCAAGTCTGGTGGGATAAGGTATTCTACAACGAGTAGAGGAGTGGAGAACTCTTCTTGTGAAATATTTCTGGACTTCCTCAACTGTGCTAATATCAGATATGTAATGTGGGTTCCAGGCTGATGAGCTGTATTGGTCTAGCAAATGTTTTGTATGTTCTAGTAAGTAGTGTGATATTATCAGAGAAAAAGCTACGTAGGATTAGGTTAACAACTCTTAATGCCTTTTTGGCTATGTAATTACAGTGGGCTCTAGCACTTAGATAATTAGAGATGAGTATTCCAAGGTCCTTTACAGAGCTTGGATCATCAACAAGGTCTTGACTATTCAGTTTGTATTTTATTTTCTGATTTTTTTTTATAAGACAGAGCATTTTTTTTTATAAGACAGAGCATTTATTTGTTGAGATTTGAAGTTGCCATTTGTTTGACCATTCTGATACATAGTCAAGGTCTTTTTGAAGGGTAGCACTATTGTCTGTGCTATTGAACAGCTTTACATCATCAGCAAAGAGAACACAGTTGCTCTTAATATGATCACAGAGGTCATTTATGTAGAGCAGGGGTGGGCAAACTTTTTGGCTTGGGGGCCCCATTGACTTTTAAAATTTGACAGACGGGCCGGGTCAGCACAAGATTTTTGGGGAATCGCCCCCCCTTCCCCCCTCTTCTCCTCCTTCCCCTCCCCTCAGAGGCCCCCTGAGTCAGGAGTTGCTACCGCCGGCGCGGCTCCGCGCGGCTCCAGTCCCGCGTTTCCTCAGGAAGGGAAAGGCAAAAAGGAAGAGCCGCGGCAGTGCTTTGCAACGGCAGCAGCGGCACCGGAGGCTCAGGCTCAGTGGCTCCTGGTTTTGCCTTTTCCTTCCCAAGGCAACGCGGGACTGGAGCCACGCGGAGCTGCGCCGGAGGTAGCAACTCCTGACAGCCCCAGCCGGACACCTGAGTGGAGCCTGGGCAGAACTGCCTGTTGCTGCTGCCGGAGCACCGCCGGGTCGCCTCCTCCAAGCAGCCCGCCCGCCCGCCGGGCTTCCCCTCCACCACGTGGCTCAGGGCCAGGCGCGAGCGCCCGCGAGTTAAAAGGAAGCCAAAAGTTGCTGGGAAGTTGCTCGGGTTTCCGGGGCTTCCAGGCTTAAACTTTGCACAGGCAAAGTTTGCAGGCGGGAGCGTCTTCCCGCCGAGGAGTGGGAAGGGTTCTGCCCGGCGGGTGGGCAGGCGGGCTGCTTGGAGGAGGCGACCTGGTGGTGCTCCGGGTTTCCCCTCCACCGCGCGGCTCTGGGCCAGGCGTGAGCGCCCGCCAGGAAAAAGGAAGCCGCAAGTTGCTGGGAAGTTGCTCGGGTGCTGGGAGCAGGCTTTTAAAGTGCCGCCCGAGCAGGACCGCCGAGCCGGGAAACGGGGCACCAAGGCAGGGCAAGGCTCCACCAGCAGAGGCCTAGCTTTAGGTGGCTCCAAGCAGCCCCCTCCAAGCAGCCCGCCCGCCCGCCGGGCGGAACCCTTCCCACTCCTCGGCCGGAAGACGCTCCCGCCTGCAAACTTTGCCTTTGCAAAGTTTAAGCCTGGAAGCCCCGGAAAAAAAAGGGGGATCGGCGGGGACTCACCTTCAGAGAGGTCGCACTTGAAGGTGATTTTGAACTCCCAGCCGAGGCCTTTGCAAAGTTCTTCTTTTCTTTCCTACCCCAAGAGTGCTCCGCACTGTTTTGCAGCTTTGGGGGCCACGCGGCGCAGGGCAATACGCCACACCCAGCAACTTTTTTTCAGGGGCGGGCCGGATTGGACAGACCAACAGGCCGGATGTGGCCCGCGGGCTGTAGTTTGCCCACCCCTGATGTAGAGTATGAAGATAGTTAGTCCTAGAACACTGCCTTGGGGGACACCGCTATTGACAGGTACAGAATTTGATAGGACACTCCCAATTTTGACCATTTGTTGTCTGTTTGACAGGAATGCTTCTATCCAGTTATGCAGTTGTCCAGAGATAGCATAAGATTTTAGTTTTAGGAGTAGTTTGTTGTGTACCACTGAATCAAAGGCTTTACAGAAGTCTGTGTAGATTGTGTCTATTGTTTTGCCCTGATATTTATTTTTATTTATTTTATTTATTTGATTTGCCAATTGTTTACAAGATAATAAGTATAAGTGTATACATAGTTGTGAATACATGTAATGGGTACATATAAGAAAAATAAAAGAAGAATAAGAGAAACAATAGGACAGGGACGGTAGGCACGTTGGTGCGCTTATGCACGCCCCCTACAGACCTCTTAGGAAAGGGGTGAGGTCAATAGTAGACAGTCTAAGGTTAAAGTTTTTGGGGTTTGGGGAAGAAACTACAGAGTCGGGTAGAGTATTCCAGACATTGACCACTCTATTGCTGAAGTCGTATTTCCTGCAATCAAGTTTGGTGCGGTTAACTTTGAGTTTGTATCTATTGTGTGCTCTTGTGTTGTTATGGTTGAAGCTGAAGTATTCATTGACAGGTAGGACATTGCAATGTATGATTTTATATACCATGCTTAAATCAGACCGAAGACGGCGTAATTCAAGGTTTTCTAGTTCTAGAATTTCAAGTCTGGTGGCATAAGGTATTCTACAACGAGTAGAGGAGTGAAGAACTCTTCTTGTGAAATATTTCTGGACTTTCTCAATTGTGCTAATATCAGATACGTAATGTGGGTTCCAGACTGATGAACTGTATTCGAGTATTGGTCTAGCAAATGTTTTGTATGCTCTGGTTAGTAGTGTGATATTACCAGAGAAAAAGCTACGTAGGATTAGGTTAACAACTCTTAATGCCTTTTTGGCTATGTAGTTGCAGTGGGCTCTAGCACTTAGATCATTAGAGGTGAGTATTCCAAGGTCCTTTACAGAGCTTGGGTCATCAACAAGATCTTGACTATTCAGCTTGTATTTTATTTTCTGATTTTTTTGCCAATATGTAAGACAGAGCATTTATTTGTTGAGATTTGAAGTTGCCATTTGTTTGACCATTCTGATACATAGTCAAGATCTTTTTGTAGGGTAGCAGTATTGTCTGTGGTATTGAACAGCTTTACATCATCAGCGAAAAGAACGCAATTGCTCTTAATATGATCACAGAGGTCATTTATGTAGAGTATGAAGAGAGTTGGTCCTAGAACACTGCCTTGGGGGACACCACTATTGACAGGTACAGAATTTGATAGGACGCTCCCAATTTTGACCATTTGTTGTCTGTTTGCCAGGAATGCTTCTATCCAGTTATTCAGTTGTCCAGAGATACCATAGGATTTTATTTTTAGGAGTAGTTTGTCGTGTACCACTGAATCAAAGTCTTTACAGAAGTCTATGTAGATTGCGTCTATTGCTTTGCCCTGGTCGAGTTGTGTCGTCCATATGTTTTTGCAGTGTAAGAGTTGCAGATTACAGGATAGTTTTTTTCTGAAACCAAATTGTTTATTGGAGAGTAGGTTGTTTGTCTCTAAGTGGAGGATGATGGATTGGTTAATAATTGATTCCATGACTTTACAGGTGACGCAGCATAAGGAGATTGGTCTGTAATTTTCAACTAGGCTTGGGTCTCCCTTTTTGAAGATGGGGATGACTGTGGCTTGTGACCATAGGTTAGGCAAGGAGCTGGTCCTGAAAGATTTTTCAAAGATTATGCTTAGAGGTTTGGCTATGGCAGTGGATAGCTTTTTTAAGAAGTAGGCACATATTCCATCACGTCCAATAGATAGAGATGGTTTTAGATTGCATAGTGCTTTTTCAACATTGTCTTCTGTAAAATCGATATGTATTAGATCATTGTTGTTATCTGTGGTACGGCTAGGAAATACTGGGCATGATCCATTGCTGTTTACAAATACTGAGCTGAAGAATGTGTTAAAGATGTTGGCTTTAGTGGTGTCGTCGTTGCAGTCTTTACCATCAGGTCCTATCAAGGGTGGGATGGACCTTGAGTCTTTTAGTTTGTTGTTTACAAAATTGTAAAAAGCACGGGTGGAATTGGTGCTTAGAAGGTTTTCCTCTTGTTTAATGTGATAATTGATGCATTCGGTCTTTATCTGGTGGCATAAATTTTTGTATCGGCTTTTGAAATTGGCAACGTGACCAGATTTGTTTTTCCGCCAGAGTGATCTCTTTTTGGATTGAAGTTTCCTTATTGTTATGGGTTTCCTTATTGTTCTGCTTTTTTGTTTTGTTTTGGGAGTTGTTGTTGGTACATATAGTTTGATGACTCTTTTGACTTCAAGTAAAAATATGTTGTAATGGTCTTCAACAGTATTGCATCCAGTGAATAGAGATTGCCAATCAAGGGATGAGAGATCGTTGTCTATAAGATCATAGTTGCCTTTTTTGAAGTTACAGTTGGGGATATGTGTGGATGTGTGTGTGTGTGTGTGTGTGTGTGTGTGCAGATGAGATAGCAGTCATAAACTGCTAGCAGCAATTGCTTGGGCATATATAATGCCAACATTATCAAAAAAATAAATGATTTGGTGCTAGAAGTATCAAAGAACTGTCCTCATTATGCTGGATGGGGAAGAGAGAGAAAGATTTCCAGGAGCATTTATCCTTTTCTTAAATTGAGTTACAGGCAGCACCCTGTTTGTTTTTCCCCTTGGGATTCCTTGGGAGCCTCTGACAAGAATCTCATCTGATGGCACAAGATAATACAGTTTTATATTCATATAAAGATGGATGTGTCTGTTTTGTTTTCCACATTTTCATTTTCAAGTACAATTTTTCTACTTTGGTCCATAAGGTGAGATCACATCCAACAATAATTGCTTTTGTTTGGTTTGTTTTTTAACTCTCTGAGAAACCTTTGTAGACTTCTCTTACATATCAAACCTTTATATGGAATCTACTAAACAATGGGAAGCTATTTTCTTAATGGATAATTTATATTATTTTCTTTCTCAGGTGCACACTGTTCCATGCATTTGTCCCAATGTTTGTAGCATTGTTTAAGTTGGGGTGTTTATTTAGTTGTAATTGTAAAGAATAATAAAGTTACAATTCATGTATTACTTTGTGAAGTAAGAATTAGGTTGCTTTTTTTAAAAAAATAGATCAGATTATTTTTCTTCCATATTTCACTGTAACTGACAGGATAGAAATGAAATACCATATTTATTAGCTATGATTGTTTTTGTACCACACTTTATGATATCATATTTCAGCATTTAACATAAAACAAAGTTAAAAACAAGAAAATACCAGGTATTATTTTAAAACTGCCAAAACCTGCACAATCAAAGCTCTGTTCACTTAATACATCCATTAAATGAAGAGGCTTGTGCTGTAAATTAAGAAAATCCACGATATATATGTCTAAGTGCCTTTTTAAAAAATGTGTGCTATCTTTTACTTAAATTTTAGAAAAGTTAGTCATGTGTTTTTCTAAAGAAAGACATTTCATTATGGCTTTGAGGATGAAAAATAGTTTACTGAGAAACATTTCTATCTTGTAGTTCATCCCTTTCATTTAATTCTTATTTTCTTTATATCTATAATTTTCAAACTTTCTGGTGCTCAGGGTCATTTCAAGGATCTCAAAAATATTAACTCAACCGATTCATAAAATGACAGAAAGTTCAAGTGAGCACAGAGCAATTACAGCTGAAAAATCATTAGCATCATCTTTTTCACAGTGAGAAAAAAGCTTCACCTTTTTGTCATACAGAAAAAACCTTTTGTATTCCCTTGTTAATCTACTACATTTTCTATTTTCTTCCTACAAGCCTTTTCGCAAAATCCAAAAGGAATGATGAGGTTTTGGAAGACACCTAATATTATGAGAGAAGTCCATCAGTCCTTTAGACTGAGTTAGCTTAAGTTGTATTTTCCTTTTTTTAAAAAAAAAAAAAAAACTCCTGTTATAAAAAAAACCAGGATAACAGTAATAGGGAAACTATGTTTGCAATTATTTCCTTTGAGTGCTATTTAGTCTTCTTAAAGTGATTCATTATGCATTCTTGCTTACAAGTGCAAAAGGATAATCCCTAGGAAATTCCTGATTCTAATGAAAGCAAACAATTTTGCATTTATGAATATGATACAGCAATACTAGCTAATTCCTTTTTGCAATATAGTACTTCTGAAACAGAAAAAGATAATAATACCATGATTCCTGATTTCTGCAGTGTTAGAGAAATTGGGACCTATTACATGGCCATTGACAGAGTAATTGACATAGGTTTGAAAGCTCTGACCTCAAAACATTTTGATGGGCAACTAAATCCACATTTTTATTAAAGTAAACCAGTATGATGATATTCACATGATTGGTTTGGACATGTTTTCAAATATCCCTGGTAAGTATTTACCCTGATGTGCCATAAGTAGACAACTGCTAAAAAGCAGGACAGCCAAATGCCTAGCTCTCTTCTTTTTGCAATATTAAAAAAGAGAGTTAAATACAGGGTTAATGATCTATTCTTTATTTATTCAACTTAATCTAAAATAAGTCCAGGCTGTTTGGAGTTAAAATTCTCATTCTAATGCTGTTGGGAGTCAATGGATGCATTCAACAAGCTAATTCCCTCCTTAGTCTACTTAAACATGCTGTGCATACACTACTTATGTGTTGGAGCCTGAAATATTTATTTTGGAGAGCCAAAATGAGGTCTCTAGTGGATTTTGCTAGGAGGTATTCTGGGCTAACAATAAAGATATGGTCTTATATGGATGGCACTCTGCTTAAATCAACCTCAGTTTTAAGATGTTGCTTGCCTTACAATGCTATTTGCCTAGAACACGGCTGTCAAACTTTTGGCGTCATGTTGTCATCATGTGATGTATTGTGACTTTTTCCCTCTTCGCTAAAACGGATGGGCATGACCAACAGTTGACACATCTTGCCTGCGGACCACGAGTTTAATACCCCTGGTCTAGAACATCCACTCATTGGCCTTCTTCATTACAGACCAAAGATCTCAGACTCCTCACATCCGGGCAAATGAAACAGACAGATTAGAAAAAGTCACTGAAGGCAGACCTAAAAGTAAGTGAAGACTGATTTACATATCAATACATCTTTTTTTAAAAAACAAACAAACCTGCAATATCATCTATATTAATATCCAGCTATTTAGTGGTTATCCCGATTTTTACAGTCCAGTCTTACAGCATTAAATCCAACACATGTAATATTTCTAGTTGCAGAAAGATGCTGTGGAGATGTCTTTTCCATACAAGAAATCATCCTTGCTCCAGAAATTTTAAAAAATCACAAAACAAATGCATTCTATGAAGAATGATTTAACAGCATTTCTTTTCATTCGATTTATAATAGTTATTGCCTTGTTATATTTACAAAGAAAGCTCCATAGCTCTGATATAAGACCACTGTCCTTCCCTTTACTGGGAAGATCATCTTGATGGGATAATTTATACATAAATAATCCACAAAATTTTACTTCATTGGGAAGATATACCGCAAGATGAAGAAATAGTCAAGAAGATATTAGATTGTGCAGAAATGGATAGACTGACATTGAAAATTAAATAGAAAGAGGATGTAGAATATTATCAAACATAGAAATTATTTTACCAATGGTTGGGGGAAAGGGGTGGAGATTAAGAATGTAATCTTTATTGCTAAGCAAATTAAATACCCAGACAACATGATGTTTTTTAAGCACTAAGAAATGCATTTAATAGAAAATCAATAAAATAAAATAAAAATGTTACTTCACTAGAGGAGACAATAAGCAAAATCTAAAGTTTAACGTGTATGTTTATTTACAAACACATTCATCTATTTTTACGAATTATTTTTTAAAAAATCAAAAAACTAAAAACAAATTCTAAAATTATAGTAGCAGCTAAGCAGAAAATATGAGGGTGATATTGCAGGCATGCTAACTGGTCCTTGGTTCAACTAATCTAAGGGGAAGCTTTTCCAAATAAAAAGGGAAAAATGTCCAGAAATTATTTATATTGCTGTAACTCATCTCAAGATAGATACATTGATTATGGGATTGCATAATGCTTTTAGATAGTTTTAATTTCTCTTAAAATATTCTAACAGTCTTCATTCATGAAGACATTCTGAAAACACATCACTGCATTATCTGTTTCAGTAAAAATGTTAAAAGGTCATTGTGATACCTACTAAAACCTTAAGCTGGGGAACTTATATATTTTGAACTTCATTTCCCATAGTTGTTAGCCAACATCAATGACAATCAATGTTCAACATTCTGAAGAATATCAATTCAAAGAAAGCAGCCTTAAATATTTCACAGGCACTTGGCCCCTTTGGGAGCATAGCAACTAATATTCAGATTCTGGCCAAAGTGAATTTTATAGTAATTCAAGGTAGTAAGACAATTTAAAAGGTTGGGACCATACCTGAATACCCATCCTGTATTTCCTTTCACAGTGAGAAAATGTTATTTGAAGCACAAAAAGGGATAAGGAAGAATAGAATAGAATAGAATAGAATAGAATAGAATAGAATAGAATAGAATAGAATAGAATAGAATAGAATAGAATAGAATAGAATAGAATACTTTATTGGCCAAGTGTGATTGGACACACAAGGAATTTGTCTTGGTGTAAATACTTTCAGTATACATAAAGAAAAGGTACATTCGTTAAGAATCAAGAATCATAACGTACAACACTTAATGATAGTCATAGGGTACAAAACGAGAACAATTAAAGGTGTGAGATCAGAAAAGTCAGTATATCTAAGCCTAATTTAGCATTCACTATACTTCTCTGTACATTTTTATTTTGCAAAGCATCTTTGCTATCACCAAGTCCATATTGATTTTATTCATTTTTATTTATTAAATTTACATGCTGAATCACCTTATAAGGCAACTCTTTATACTGCTTCGTATGCTGCCATTATCATTATTATTTCTCAATTGTTTTCTTTTGTTCTGTTTTAGGATCTCATTAACTCAACCCAATCATAGCTTTCTATTTTCTCCTCCCTCTCAATCTGTTTATTCTTCCTTCATTTATTTGTTTTGCTGGGACCCAAGGATGTTGAGAAAAGAGCTTTGATTTCCATATTTGCAAACTGATTAATCCTTTGACAAATATGTTTTGAGAGCAGCAGATAACACACTGTCATTTATCTTATCAAAGTAACAGCAGGCACAACCACATCAACACCAAAGATTCCTGTGACTTCAGCATTCAACTTGGGTCCAGCAATTTTAGGTGAGACTCTTTTTTTTCTTAATCTCAATCACATCTCAAAAACAGACCTATTAAACAATTATATGACTACCGCATTTACCTCTTCTGTTTTAGCTTATTACAGTTTCAACTACTTTCAATTGACTTGGGCACAGGTATTCTCATTGTTTTTCTTACTGTAGTCGATCAAAAGGAAAACCAGGATGGCTGCGGGAATTCTTCACAGAAAAATCATATTACTGTTATTGCGTTCTGCCTCCTGAAGGAGCTGAAAATAGTGCACATAAAAATGTAGGGAAAGCTAGCAGAAGGCTTTGTTATAGCAGCAATACTTGTGGGAAATAATGGGAGCTGTGGTCAAATATAACTGAAAGTACCAGGCTGGGGAAAACTTTATTAAAGTGGGTGTCAATATTTTTCAGAGAATAGTTGCCATCTTATGTGGTAGCCTAGCTGCCCCCACTCCTTTTTATTTTAAAAGTAAAGATTATCTTTCAGTAAGGCAAGGCCTGGAAGTTTCAGAGAAGTTCTCTTGAGGGATCAACTCCATCCTCTCGGTACATGGCTCTTAATTCAAAAATGGGTAACCTTTCTTCTACTGAGAGCCCTTTGAAATCACAATTTGATGGGGCAGACCTAAAAGGGGGGTTCTGCTCTCCATTCTCTTTACTTTTTTCTAACTTTAGTATATATCTTTTTTTTCCATTCTCTTTTTCTCTTTCTCTTGGTTTATCCATCCTGTATAAAAAAAATTGGGTGAACAGTTTGCTTTTGACAGAGCTCTATATTGATTGATTGTGAAAGGTATTTGAAAATAGATGGTTCTATTGATTGCATTAATACAGAGTAGAGAGCAAAATTGCTGATCTGAATGTTCTTCATAAGAAAACTACTAACAGCTGAAGGGCTAACATTTTTGAAAGAAGGCTTATGCTGAAGACATTGTTAGCCATCTACAACCTTAAGCCTATGGACGATCTATAATTAATTTTATCTAACAGTTCCAAGACTTTTTGTAATGACTCACCGCAGTCTCCTGAATATCTAAAGTAATTGCCACAAGATGGCTCTAAACTGCTGAGTTTTATGGTAGTGATAGCATCTATTAATGTCATAGAGTGTGTACCTGGAAATTGTAAAATACACTTTAAAATGTGAGAACATGGATGCAGTGAAGATAATCAATCATGAAGTTAATCGATTAATGCAGTAATTAATCAAGCCTTAATTGTTTCATAGGAACTTCCCAGTTTCTGCTTTTTGCAAGTATGATAAAATTTGTTATGTTGGTTAGTTTTAAAATAGGATTATCCTGCCATTCTACACCACACTGGCTTCATGTAAGGGACATGATAATGTATGGATGGGCACTCTGCTGAATTCTTCCATTCGAAAGAAACACAAAGTTACATTTGCTTTTACTTGTGATTGACACACATTCATTGGGCTTCTTCATTACAGTTCAGAGTTCTCAGAGCCCTGATAACCAGACAAATACAACAGTCAGACTAGAAAAAGAATCTGAAGATGGACCTAAAAGTAAGTAAAGAAAAACTTATATATCAATATCTATCTCTGCCGTGTTTTCTTACAGGCATTCCCCAAGGCCATCATAAAGTTACCATATCTGGTTTTCAAAAGTATGAATGACCACTAGATATAGAGAAAATTTTAAGTAGGATTTTTTTTTTTTTGCAGCCCAGATATGATAACCATAGCATTCCAGATTCAGTCTGATGGGTCTGGACATGTCCATTGTACTATCACTTTTCTTTTTTAAAATAAAAATAATCTATTAAAAATAAAGTTGTGTGAGTTATGTTGACAGACACGCTGATGCTCATGTGCTTCATTAGAAACACAAGTAAAATAGCATTTTTGTGAATAGGTTGCTGATAAGGGTGCTTTCCTTTCCTCTAGAGCAGGGGTGTCAAACTCGCGGTGTTGTGGTGGTGTCATGTGATGTTTCAGGACTTTTTTCTCCTTCACTAAACTGGGTGTGGGCGTGGCCAGTGCATGATAAATCCAGCCCACGGGCCACAAGTTTGACAGCCTTGCTCTAGAGCATCATTCATTTGATTGTTATCCAGAAAGAAAGGAGTAGGGAACAACAATTGATAGCCAATCATGGTTTATCTGGTCAAAGAAAATAAGATAGAGAAGTCATAGTTTAAGATTTTTTTCCATACTACTATCTATTAAGCTATTAAAGTAAAAGTAAAGGTTCCCCTTGCACATATGTGCTAGTTGTTTCTGGCTCTAGGAGGCGGTGCTCATCCCCGTTACAAAGCTGAAGAGCCGAAGACGTCTCCATGGTCATGTGGCTGGCATGACTAAATGCCAAAGGTGCACAGAATGCTGTTACCTTCCCACCAAAGTGGTCCCTATTTTTCTACTTGCATTTTTACATGCTTTCAAACTGCTAGGTTGGCAGAAGCTGGGACAAGTAATGAGAGCTCACTCCATTACGTGGCACTAGGGATTTGAACCACTGAACTGCCAACCTTTCTGATCAACAAGCTCAGCATCTACCTTATTAAGCCACCATGTACCTTATTAAGCTATTAGCTTCTTGTAAAAATGAAGCAATTTGAAAGCAACTACAACACACAAAAAATCTCTCTTTTGTATGTATAACGTCAACATGTATAATATCCCAAATCACTGATTTTGGACAATATTACTGTCTTCATTTTTCAGATATGAGTGTGGAATGCTTCCCAAATCCATATTAAAGTAGCTATCCTTTTAATGATTAAGGGCCTGGAGGCAAAAACATATGAAGAACGGTTGCAGGAATTGGGTATGGTCAAACTAGAGAAAAGAAGGACTAAGGGTGACATGATAGCAGTATTCCAGTATTTGAGGGGCTGCCACAAAGAAGAGAGGGTCAACTTATTTTCCAAAGCACCAGAAGGCAAGGCAAGAAACAATGGGTGGAAACTAATCAGAGAGAGAAGCCACCTGGACTTAAGGAGAAACTTCCTAATAGTGAAAACAATTAACTAGTAGAACAGCTTGCCTTCAGAGCAGCAGTGGGAACCTTCCTGTTCCACTACTGCTTTGGTGATCACACACGTGCACCTAATGCACACATGCAGCTTTCCCCACACCAGCTTAGACCTGCAGCGCCAATCAGCTGAGAGGATAAAGAAAACTACAGGGGCGGATGGGAGGGTCGATCCTGCACTTTTCTCTTCTTTCTCCTCTCAGCTGATCATGGGAGGCTTTTTTTACTACCAGTTTGAGTGAACCGGGGTGAACCGATAGCATACGACCACTGCTTCAGGCTTCATCATAGGAAGTTTTTAACAAAAGACTGGACAGCCAGATCCAGTCTGGGTTCTCTTGCTTGAGTAGGGAGTTGGACTACAAGACCTCCAAAGTTCCTTCCAGCTCTATTCCGATTGATTGATCATTCTGCAATTTTCACATTCCAGTGGATGTATGGCTGAAACATTAAGGCTTCTGTGGCAAATTCATAATATCTTCTGCTCTATTATTAAATTGTGCACACAGACCCTAGCAAGAGGGAGAGCTGCAAAATTATTTCCGTATGGTTCAGAAAGGGAACGTGAAGTGTATAGTAAGGAAACATTAAGAAAGCCAAGAAAGCTACCATTAATTCAACTGCTAGTTGATCACTGAAAGCAAAACAAGAAACAAAAAACCCTACAGGGCCAATATACATGACTATATGTCTTTCAATTTTCTTTCTCCTAGACAATTCAGGATTAACTAATCAGGAAAAACAAGATGATGCTTCTTACATTGGTAAGTAAATATGATCCATGGTCTCTCAAGTTTTAGCAAACAAATATTTTACAAAAATTGTTGCTTGAAATGAAATTGTTGCACTTGCTGGACAGTGAACCTTGCAGCAAATGTGTACCTGCCCACTTCCCTGGCTAACTACCAGTGAGTATCTTTAGACTCTCCAAAAGAGAAATAGAATGAAATTAACATAAAATTAACAATTTTCACTTCTGAACTTTTGCCTTTAGAATACATCAGATAAAGGACAAGTTGGATCATGCCAACCTTTGCAGAGAGCAAGCATTAGAATATGTTTGCCCAAGAGCTATAAAGTTATCATTCAGGGTAAAAGCATCTGCTTGAAATTTTATTGAAAAGGTATCTCATGCAATGCAATAAACACAACACAATTTTTAAAAAATCTATAAAAGAAAATAGACAGCTATGTGATTGTGTTTGATATTCACTTTGGTACCATCAGACTGAAATTTTTAATCAACATATTGCAATGCACTGTGGGGAGGAAACCCACTGAGCTTGATGAGGGCGGAGTTGCTACATCCCAACAACTCTCTGCCTAACTAGCTTGCTTTGATTGATGAAGATGCTTGGATGAGCAGTGATACATCTCAAATTAATAAGAAAAATAAGCCCAGTTGCCATGACACAACCTTATCTGGATGATTGAGTATTTTCATCTTCTTACTTCAGTAGCATCAGACCCTCATTAAAACATCTACTCAATTAGCCCATCTGGTCCAGCAATTTGTTCCCACAGTGGCCAACTAACTGCCCAGGGAAGACTGCTACTTTCCTAGCAGATGACCTTTGAGATAGTCACACTGCCATCGAGTCTAATAGCCATTGATCCCCATGACTTCCATTAACTGGTCCACCCTTTGGGGACTCTGCTTCCAGTATTGTGGGAAGATTGAAATAGCTCCCCTTTGTCCCTTTTATCCCCACTACATATATCACAATTTTTATCCGAAGGAAGCTGCTTGAAACCTTTCATCATCGTAGTTGCTCTCTACGAACCTTCTCTAACTCTACAATGTCCTTTTTGAAGAGCAGCAACCAGAATAAAGAAAACTGACTTGAAAAGCATGAATTACCATAATTCTCTTCTTTAAAAGGAAAACGTAGAGGAAACAAAAAAAAACAACAACCTCCAAGTTCTTCCATAATAATTAAAAAGCTCAAATAGGAATTACAGGTTTTCACTTTGCAGCAATTTTTCTTAAGCTAGAATATCACCTGAAAAATATAGACTAAAATAAGACTAAAAAATAAGACTAAAACAGCATATGAAAAGGAGTTCTTACTTGATATAAAATGTACATACACTGAATCGCATGGGTAAACATATATAAATTCATCTTATAATTTAAAAACAGGTAGTATATAACAGCATAATGAAGGGTATGACATCTTGGATAGACAAATTCTATGTAAAAGAAGATGTAAAGACTTTGACAATAAAGAGCAAAGTTAGAGAGATGGGAAAGGTTTCAAGGAAAACAAGGTCAACAGCTCTATGGTCCTAATAGCTTGGTACCCCAAAGCATATCAGCTGCTAGAAAGTAATGGGGCACTTAAAATCCATACAGGTAGTCCTCAACTTACAACAATTCATTTACTGACCGTTCAAAGTTACAACAACCCTAAAAATGTGACTTATGACCGTTTTTCACAGTTTTGACCTTTGTATTTGACCCATGATCATGGGATCAGAATTCAGAGGCTTGGCAACTGGTTCATATTTATGACCATTGTTGCGTCCCGAGGTTGTGTGATCACCTTCTCACAAGCAAAGTGAATGGGAAGGCCAGATTCACTTAACAACCAGGTTACTAATTTATCAACTACAGTGATTCACTTAACAACTGTGGCAAGAAAGGTTGTAAAATGGGGCCAAACTCACTTAACAAATTTCTCATTTAACAACAAAAATTTGGGGGCTCAATTGTGGTTGTAAGTCGAAGAATACCTGTATTCAACAATGGGGAGAGGGAGAGGGAGAGAGAGTGGGGAGGAAGGGAGAGGGAGAAACCATGTATAGCGGGGTGTCAAACTCATGTTCTCATGGCATTATCACGTGACATAGTGCAACTTTTTCCCCCTTTGCTAAACCAGGCATGGGCGTGACCAGCATGAAGCATTTGGCCCACAGGCCGTGAGTTTGACAACCTTGGTGTACAGTATCCACTCTCTTAAACATATTTGCAGAAACTAGTATTATGCTGACGAAGCGATATACACTCCCATTTGTAATTTGTTCTTCTGATTCATACAGATGGGGGGAAACTACCTTGATCTTAAATTCTGGGTCAAGATAGTGCTATTTACTGCAGAGACTTTTGAGTGGGAGGGGAAAACAGATCCCCCCCCTTTCATTAAGGCTCTTTGCCTGCCACCTAGTGGTTATGCTGAAATATAAGAAAGGAAAGCCTAACAAATTGATTTTTTAAGTCAGTGCTGACTCCTGGAGACTGCATGGACAAGTCCATCCAGTTTCCTTATCAAGATTTCAGAAGTGGTTTGCATTGCTTCCTTCCTAGGGCTGAGAGAAAATGACTAACTCAAAGTCATCCATCTGGCTTTGTCCTTATGGTAGTAACAGAACAAAGTTTTTCAAGAATTCTCAAAGAAGGTATCAAAGGTGGTTGGGAAAGATTGTCATATTTTATACATATATTCTTAAGATGTGCAGGTGTCATAAAGTGTATGAAATAAATAAATACTTTTGTTACATACAGGTATAATTTTGCCAGTTGTCATTGCCCTAATAGTAATAAGTGTCATCGTATTCCTTTTAATGGCTTTGTACCGAATGTGCTTGAAGACAACGCCAGGTGTGTATGTATTCTGTAAAAATTAAAATGCATATGACATAATGAAACATACAGACATAGGATGAGGGTATCTGGCTTTGCATTGTGTTGAGAAAGTATTTTAGATGTCAACTGAAAACAAATCCACAAGTTTTAGTGGCTGCTTTTAAAAAAAATAGTTTTCTGATTTTGTGAAATATAATTCTTTCTACTTGGTTCTATTTTGGTGGGATCCCATTACAAGTAGGCAGGCAGTTCTGCATATGGGCCAAAGACAAATTCCTTGTGTGCCCAATCACACTTGGCCAATAAAGAATTCTATTCTATATTCTGCTTTTAAGATACAATTCATTCATGGAACAGATTCAGAGATGGTAAGAAGAATGATCAAGGAAACATAAACTTAAAACTATAGGTGCTAACAATATTTAGCCATAAGAAAGAAGATCTCTTTAAATATTTGAGAGATTATCATGTGGAAGATAAAAACTGTTCTTAATTGTTGCAGAATATAAGACATAGGACAATGGGTTCCATGACATGCTGGATAACCTTCTGTTGGGGATCCTTTATTCTGCATAGAGGAGGAAGTTGGATTTAATGATGTGAAAGGCCCTTTCCTGTCTATTAGTCTGAAGTTTTATTTGCTAGAAACCTAACCTGATTTCTCTTAAAGTGCTTCTGAAAGTGAAAGAAGATCTAGAACCCTAAAGCTAAAGTTCAACCTACAAACTCTTAAGTGGACATCCTCATGGCCCATCCAACCTACTCTTAAGAAATCTGCGAGAAAAACTTTCTTATAAAGATATAGAAATTGAACAGAAGCATCTGTTACTAAATATTGCTATGTGTCTCACATGCTTCACAGATTAGATTTCAGTTGCTGATATCATTTATAAGAACAACTGTTAAAAACAACTGGACCAGAATTAAACAATTGGAATCAGTTCTAAATCTTCTTGGAATAAAATATAACTAGATTCAAATTGCTTTGGAAATTTCATGTATAAAACCTTTGAAAATTATTATTGCTTTTAGACTACAGTCAGTTTTTGTATTTCAAGAGTTTCTTTATAAGAAGGACAAAAATCCCAATACATAAAAGAAATAGTTCTCTGACATATCGTGTTGAATTAGAAATGTAGAAAGATGATGTGACTTATCATGGTGGACTAGAAAGATAATGTGAATTTAAATTCCTTCCAGAGAGGCAAGAGAATGGAACTGAACAGTAAGTTTTTTCCCTTTTCTTCCATCCATTTTGCTCATTTATGTTAAAACACATTAAACATGTTAGGTTACAGTTTCTTTAACAACCCAGTTTTTAAAAGAGTGGTGTTGTTCACCTGACCTTATAGCCGTCTACATTACCCTTTCAACAGTCAAGTCCCATTTCTTCCAGATGAATGTAATTTGGAGAGTGAAAAGGTAGAGCATGGGAATTAAAGTTACATAACTTGCAGGCAGATACTCTGTGGAGTTTCAAGTCAGCTACAATCTCTCTCATGTGTACTTTGATTCTCAGTGTGTGACCAAGCTGCACTCATAGTCACTATTCTACTTGGTGCAGCAATAACATTTCCTTAAAAACTTTAAACTCCCCCACAAACACACAACCTTCAGAAAATGCAACTTTGTGGAAGGTTATCCAAATGTTTTATTCTGTGTGTGTATCTAATACCACACAGGGTTGTTGTGGGAGAAATGGGAAGAGGAAGCTCACTACCTTGAGTTATTTGTAGAAATAATAAAGGTGGGATAAAAATAAATAAGTAAATAAATAAGACAACCACAGTTTTCAGCATACAAAGAACAGGTTATTACTATTATTTGCAGCTAAAGAAGTCACCCAGAGTTGCTTTGAAATGGATGATACATAAATTTAATAAATAAGAAGAGATGAGACAATTCCATCACTCCCTATGTTGGTATTCACCCCCATCTGTGAGAAAATGCTGGAGAATTTGTCTCCACACTTTGCCATTGAAAGAGTTCAGAAAAACTATCACATTTCTCAAGCCACAGATAAATAGATTTTTCAAGGAATCCCTCTCTACAACTTTAGTTATACCAGTAAGCTGCCTAAATTATATTACTGGCTGAGCACTCAGCACAGGTATTATCTGTAGTTACCACCATGCCATTATTTGGACTCTAAAATTTCAGGATGAGAGAAGTTGAGACAAATGTTTTCTTCATTGTCTTAAAAACAGCCTTTCAACCAGGGCATGACTCTTTGGTAATTCGCCAAAGATGTTTAGTGCTTATAAAGTAGTCTGCAGACCATCTGAACTCATGTATTATACCATTTCACCCTGACCTTTAGAAAGCATTTCCATTTCTGTAACAATTTTTATCTTGTCCAGACTCTTTCTTTGTTTGGTTACTGATCCAAAAATTCAAATTTGCACAGACCTAAGGCTACTTGTTTTAATTAAACTGTTGATTTACTAATCCAGGTAGATGTCTTTGAATGTTTCAGCATGGCCTTTACTGTTGACCCACATACCAAACTGACATCTGTAAAAACAATTGTACCATTTTGTAAATCCTCTTCAAGCTCATTCATTTACCTCTGGAAAATCTTCAAGGCAATCTTTTAAAACTATATTCTCCAAATGAGGTAATGAATATATTTGGCTTGGCTTTGCTTTCAACTAGGTTTGGGTTTTACCCCCATTTCCCAGCCCTGTCCAGTTTAGATAATATAGAGCTGCAGTTTTATGTAATTTTGACAAAGAAAGTGTGCAACTATTACCATGTTCTATTGTCATTATTTATATTTGGGAAAATCAGATGCAAGTTGCTAAGGCTTTCCAAAACTCCTCCGGTCAGGTAGCAATCTAATGTTTTTCAAATGAATTCAGTCACATTTCTCTGAATTAAATGGTTCTTCTCAATAAATCTGTGTTGGAACAGATCACTGTTCCTCTCCTACTTCCCATTGGGAGCAAGATATAATCCTCTGTCTTTTTATGCTGGCCATGGAAATAGGAATTTGGTTTTTCTAAAAAATATTCCTGGGATAGAAGCCAGGTTTAGGATTCTTTGCTAGGTGAAGGTAGGAAAGGCTATTTGTTCTTCCAGTCCAGCACAGAAATGTAATCAATTGCCCACAAAGGAAAAAAAAACAAATTTCCTGAAACATTCACTCCAGGAAGGACAAGCAAGGTGACAGAGAGAACAAGACATCCCTGTATTTTCTAGCAGGAAAAAGGAGAAATTGACTTAATACATGTTTGAATGAAAACAAAGCTAATTTCACTTTTTTCAACTAATATGCAGACTCACATTTTCTAATACAATTTCTCATTATTTTGAAAAATACATTGGAAAAAAAGACTCCAATCAAATATACATGGAAACAGTGTACAATCTGACTTACATTGTGAAAATTATTTGTGTTAAAGAAAAATGCATCAAAATACACAAGAACTCCCAAGTTCAGTAAATTGGACATGAACTGAAGTAGAGAAGGACCAAATCGAACATATCTATGAAAATTTGAATCTGAAAGAAGCATTGGTGGAATTGCCCATTCCTATGGCAGCTTACCTGCATTTCTTATTTTACACAGAATGGGGCAACGGGCAATAGTATGAAATTGCAGCCGCTCAGCCGCAGTGGCTTCATTGTTCCTCCCGAATTGCCAAGCCATTTGCACAGCTCAGTATCCATCTGGCTCACTTGGATTCTTTGAATTGGCCGGCAGCTATTAGACATGATAAAGGATGTATAGGCAGTCCTCAGCTTTCTTGCCAAGTACCCAACCAGAATTGGGTACTTGGGATGGGAATCTCCATTGCTAAGTGATGCAGTCATTAAGCAAGTCACACCTGATTTTGTGACCTTTATTCCATGGTCATTAAGTAACTCATGCGAATCTGGCTTTCCCCATTGACTTAGCCTGATGGAAGCTCCCTGATACGTTTGTAAATGGCATAAACGCATGCAGTTGCCAAGTACACAAATTTTGATCACAGGGACACTACAACAGTCATAAGTGCAAGGACTTGTCCTGAGCCACTTTTATGCTATAGTTTTGAATGGTCATTAAATGAATACTCATCAGTTGAGAACGATCTATATTCCATCACCAAAGCTGAAGTAAATCACCCTTGGTAGTTCAGCCTCCTATAAAAGGAATGAGAGTAAACAAAATGTAAGGATAAGAAGCAAAGCCAGGCAGGAAAAGCTCCATCTAGCCAACAGTCTATCAGTTCTTCTGTCCTGTATCATCCTATATCCACTTCCCTATCATGTATCCTTTGCCTTCATGAGACATTTGTCAATCATACAACACCTCCCAACAGAGCCCCATCGGATAAAGAGAATGTGAAACTCATTTCTGTTAAGACAACTTCTTCAGACTCAGGTAAGTCATGCTTATTTATTACTGGTCAGATTGAGAAGTAAGATGAAGCTTTTAAGCATTCAGTCAGAGTTAAACAGATTATTAAGCCTGTATTTAGAAGAAAGGCTACGCCTGCTTGAAAAAGATTGAACCTTGTGTGAGACTAGCATATGTCTGTTATTCATTAAATCAGCCCAATTAGTTTGGGGCTTTTTCCAAAGTGTGGAATAAAGGATGCCACTGCTTTGAAGAACCAGATCCTTAATGTAAATGAGAAGGACCAATTGATGTTTTTAATGTTCTGAATCAAGTTGGGGTACTTTATTGAATATTATTAAAGGTGCTCTGCTCATACAAGAGCTAACACACTTCTTCCAATTCTTAAAAAAAACAAAACACCACACAGCCCTAACAATATGTTAAGATCAATCTCAACAACACTGAAGAAGGCTTCTTTAAATGAAAAATGCATGGACAAAATGATATGAAAGAAAAGTTGCTTTGGCTGCTTGTTCAGAATACTTGGTTTCCCCCCCCCCTCCACCTTTGGATATGATTATGCCTCTCATGTAAGTTTTAACTATTTTCTGGAAAACAGTACAGCAAAAGAAATGATTGGGACCTTCTTCTAAACCAGGGGTATAAAACTCAAGGTCCATGGGCCGGATCTGGCCTGCGAGACCACCCTGTAAAGAGCAAAGGACTGGCCCCATTTTTGGCCATGGGCCTCTCAGGCCCCATTTATAATGAGATTATAATGAGAGTGAGGGACGGTCTGAGGGAAGTTCTGCCTTAGCACTTGGCCACCACAATTGCCCCCAAAATGAGTGATGTTGACCTGGCCATGCCTACTCTGGCCATGCCCATCCCCCCAGGTCAAATACAACTTTGATGTGGCCCTAAATGAAATCAAGTTTCACATCCCTGTTCTAAACCATTTATATCACCCATAGTTTGTCATTAGAGGTTTTTCATTTATAAATAAGCTCTTATATATACATACATACACACACACACACACACACACACACACACACACACACACTCACTCTTGTATATATAAGGTAAATGTGATTACATGTATAAGAAAAAAACCAGTGGAGATTTGGAGACTATATATATATATATATATATTTTCTTAAGTTTTCACGGGTACTTACATGTATGGTATTTAGCTTTGTTCGGGTATTTTCCCACGTCATTATAGTTGTGCTTTTAAAGTTATTTATTTATTTTATTTATTTGATTTGCCAATTGTTTACAAGATAATAAGTATAAGTGTATACATAGTTGTGAATACATGAAATGGGTACATATAAGAAAAATAAAAGAATAAGAGAAACAATAGGACAGGGACGGTAGGCACGATAGTGCGCTTATGCACGCCCCCTACAGACCTCTTAGGAAAGGGGTGAGGTCAATAGTAGACAGTCTAAGGTTAAAGTTTTTCGGGTTTGGGGAAGAAAATTTTTGGGGTTTGGGGAAGAAAATGTAGCAACATTTCGGCAGAATCTCATCTGATGATGGCAGATGAGATTCTGCCGAAACGTTGCGACAACTTTAAAAGCACAACTATAATGACGTGGGAAAATACCAGAACAAAGCTGAATAACATACATATAAATACCCGCAAAAACTTAAGAATATATATATATATATATATATATATATATATGTGTGTGTGTGTGTGTGTGTGTGTGTGTGTGTGTGTGTGTATGTGTGTGTGCATATGTGTATGTGTATGTGTATGTATATGTCTTGGCACACTTGATTTGAGAAAACAGAGTTTGAAAATCACAAGTATGAAATTATCAAACTGTTATTAGACATAATGTTTTCAGACTTGGCATAAAAGAAAGATAACATTGACATTTAAAAAAAAAGTAATAAATGGAAAAGAGAGTTTCAGGGCCTCAGAAGGCTTCCAAATTTTCCAATCTGACTATAAAGTTTTCTTCTGCTGAGCAAATGCTCAATAAAACCATTACTGAACCGTGTTGTATGCATACTATATTTGGAAGACATTTGAGCCATTGGCACTTTAAGGAACATTACTTTTTTTTCTCTTCCCTCTCACACTAGTTAATTCGATTCATATTTAATACACTTTTTGCAGCTGGCTTTTCAAAATTTTAATGCACTTTCAGTTCACACATTTCCATAAGCATGAAATCCACTGTGCCCTTTCTGATCTTGTGAAATATTCAGTTTTTTAAAAGCCCAAGAAGAAGAAGAAGAAACTCTCTAGTCTCCAAATCTCCCCTGAGATTATTTTTTATACATGTAATCACATTTATCTTTTATTGAACTTTTCTGAAGGAAATGAGCCTCCCTTCTTCAGATGTCAAAACTGAGCTCCCAGGGAACAGCTGTTTTATGAAACAGAAATGCAAGAAAGATGGGCAACAAAATTTTAGTCCGGTGGGATCAGATGTGACATGTTAACAGGAAAATAAGATAGCTTTCACCATAGCTGAGGATTATTTCTGCTTTGACTAAAATAGTTGCTCTTTGGTCCAAAAGAACTTGGATTTAATTAGCAAAGTCATCTTCACGATGAAGAGCAACTCTTCAGGTGTTAACTTTGGTTTTAACAGTTTGATGTCCATTGTTCTGAATTCCAAAAGTTAAAGTCAGAGTATGGAGGAGAGGGACTTCTGTCTGAGAAGGCTACTGTATATACACAGTGGCCCCTTAACTACAATCTATTCTCCAGTCTACTTTCCCTTGTTTGATTTTAGAAGCCCATATTAAGAAAGAGAAAAAATCTGCAAGCCCCTTCCACATCCCCTGTTAATAATCCAGTTCATTATGGAGTGTACATTCTGTATTCGCTAATTATGATTCACCTGATCAATGATGCTTAGTGGTTTTTGAAAGCTTTTAGAATTTTGCATAATTATATTTTAGCATGATGTTTGTATTCTGTTTTTCATCTCCTGCGTATTTTAAACCACTGCTGTTCCCCATTAATCTTTATTTTCCTTCTGGGCTAGGCATGTTCAGTTTCTTGACCCTTTCCTCCTATGACTTGCCTTTAGGCATGTCATTACCTTTGGAATCCTTCAAACCAATGTGAGTACTCCCATTGGTTCTCAGACGGCAGCCTAAAGACTGCAGTACTTCCCAATGGGCTTAGAAGAGTGATTTCAATGGGTTCCCTTTGAATTGGGATTAAGTTGCTTCTGGGTTGGGAGTCATCAAACTGGTGGGATATATCCCAGAGTAGATCTATCCTGAGTAGCGATGTCGAACATTTCTATATTTAAGCAAAAGAATTTAGGTGTTTGTTTTTTTCTTTACAATCTTAAATGAGTACCTGTTCTTATTACTCAGTTGCACTTTGTGGATCTGCTAGATTAATATGTAGGCCGTCCTTTTTTTCTTTTTTAAAAAAATACATTTAATTTATTTAGCTCTTTTTCACCGACTGCAGTGGCCTATGGCTAAGGCAGAAAACTCCTATGTGACTGTATCTGGACCTTTACTGAAATGATGTATATTTTCATTTTTCTTAGCAGAGCAGACTTCTCAGGGAAGGAATAAAACTCGGCAACATAATGATTCCTCCTCATGCCAAGGCAATAAATGTGTATGCTCAAGATTTTATTTCTATCTGCTAAACGCTAAATGAATATTTCTCATTTTCAGTGGAAGTCAATAGTTTTTTGTTGAAAAAAGGCAGATAACCTTTTCTGTGTGTAGCTTAAAAGTTTGGAGCAAATATTGTTATGCGTTCCCAAAGCAGAGAAGGCAAGTGGATAAATACCTTAGAGGACTCTGCTTGCAGTTCAGAAAATCCAAAACAGAACAGATTCTTAGTGTCAGTCATGGATAGCATCTGGGTAGCCTTGGAGATGGGCTACTGTAATTATGCAAAGGTCATTTAGAAAAAGAAATATGACATGAAAATATGATGTTCTCTGCAGAGAGGATGCCCCTGACAAAACAGTGAACTATAAAGAGTTTTGTATTAACTCCATAAGATAGATGCTATAATTCAGAGGAATGCTATAATTCAGAGATGGATGACCTGGCAGAGGGATCATTTCAAAAGACCTCAACAAAGAGATGGGTGGATGGATGAGAGGATAGATAGATAGATAGATAGATAGATAGATAGATAGATAGATAGAT